CATGCAGAGGAGGTGGGGCTAAATGTGGAAGCGGAGGCATTTCTATCTCTTTTTTTTCTCTCTGACCAGCATGGCTTTGTGGTGGAGGCAGCCGACACACCCTGAACTCTACATGCAGTTATTTCCAGCAGCCATGGTTCTGTTTGGGTGGGTTTTGTTTGGGTGGGTTTATTCATAGTTTATTCCTATTGTTCACAAAGTAAACACTTTAAATTAACATTTAATATGATTTATTTATGACATTAAAGGCTCACTCTAGTTTTTTGAATCTCAAAAACCAATAAAATAACTTACTAAATTCTGTTAACAAACTATATATATTTGTTTGTATCTCAGCCTGTTTTTCTGTAGTAAGCCAAGAAATCCAGCAGAGGGCAGCAAATACTTATTATTAGAACTTGGATTTTTTTTATATATTTGCAGCCTTTTAAACATAGATGTTATCCATGAGCTTTATGCGCTTCTATTCTACTAGATCCACTTCTTTAAAACAAAGAATTTAAAAAGCAGAATTAAACATAAAAGTGAGATATTTAATGCTCTAATGCGGTAAATTACACATTAAATTAAAGCTGTTAATTGTTAATTCTGCAGCCAGGAATGATTGAAGCCAGTTTGGACCCCTGGTTTATAACGGTGTGCCGCCATCAGGTCTGGGCGGTTGATTTATTTGATCAATTAATTTAATTTTAGGTTGGTGAAGATTTAACTTTGGCAAAATCTGTATTTTTTTATTCCACTAATGAACTCCTTGGTCTTCATCAGCTCAGAACAACATCAGTTAATCGCTTTTTGTCCTGATAACTACTGGAGTTAATGACTGGCACATTCACACACTGTGATTTATTGTCGGTAGTTGGGATGATTGGAATAAAAGGTCATTTTTTAAAGTAATTTATGTAATTTTTCATAGTTTTTTAATACATTTTAAGGAAGGAAAAAAAAATCTATTGGTTTTGATATGAAAACATGTAATTTCAAACCTAGGTGCCATTTCTGTAGCCATGTTATCAGTTTATTTCATTAAGTATTTTTAATGAACTATTAAGATAAATAAGCATTTAAAAAATGCACATTTTTCTTCTAAGTAATTTAGGACAGCAACATTCGATCACTGTAGAAAATCTTTTATATTATTTATTTCTATTTATACTTTAAGTACATTAGCTTTTCTAAATGAAAACATTTGTAGCCTTTAATTTGTGTTTTTTAAGTGAATCAAAAATGTCGAAAACATACAGAGAAAAAGTAAGATATTGAGATTTTTTATTTTAAATGGCATATGTTTATATATTTCCACAGTTTGGTCTAAATTACTGCAATAGGCAGGTTATTCTTTCTGCAAACAGCACGTTTTAGAGTCTGTTCTATTTATTTAGGTAACAATCTTTACCAGATTGGTCAAAATATTTACATTAATCAATTAATTACAATTTATTGTCTGAGCTAAAGTGTCATTAATATTGTGCGGATGCAGCTATCAGGATGATGATGATGATGATGATGATGATCTGAATGTTGTTGTTCCAGTCTTTCATGTTAACAGCTGCCCCCTTGTGGAGGAAAGTATTATTAACGTTGGTTTCTGATCAGACCCATTGTTTGGTTTTATTTATTTACTTACTTATTTTTTATTCTTCAGTTTCTCAGCCTGACTTTGTTTGTGGGTTCGATCCGTTGAGTTCTGGACTTCTGTTTAACACAAACAGCCATATTTAATCAGATTAATTTAATCCTGGTTGTTTTGCTGACTTTCTGACCCGTTTCTGTTCCTCTCCAGCCATGGCAGAGTTGGACCTGAGTCTGAGCGACGCGCTGACGGACAGCCCTGCTCAGCCCGGCCCAGAGGGCAAGGTGGAGAGAGACTTTATGGCCCAGCTGGAGGCCGAGACGTTCGACGATCAGGTGAAGGAGACGGTGGGGAAGACGGACTACATCCCCCTGCTGGACAACGACGACACCCGGGCAGGTGAGGAGGCCTGGAAATGGCTGCTGATACCAACACAGAGGCTGAACATTAGAGGCGTCCGTCTGTTTCACTTTCATTTCTGTGAAACAACATAAAGAATGATTCTTCTCTTATTAAATAAAACCATATAACCTTCACCCAGAAACAAAGAAACTGCAGATCTTTGAGAGCCACTGATGAAGCAGAGCCTGCCTGGTAACAGGAGCTGCAGCTGCTCCTAAATGACTCGTAGCGTTCCACACTGTGAGACAGCGGCTGCCATGTTGGATAAGTGGGGGTGTCATTCAGCCATCGGGTCAGCGTTCGCTCGCAGATACGGTTTGGAGCATCAGCTCATCGCTGCGGATTCTCTGCAGCCAAGGTTTTATTCCAAGGTCCTGCAGAATCTGGGGATGTATGGAGCTAAATTAGTGACAGTTTGACGGCGAGAAAAAGGTTTGGCTTTTTAAAATGAAACACGGAAAAATAGGACGGTGGAAAGGATCAGTTTTACTTTAAGTCGTTTAATTTTTCTAAAACAAAAGCAAAATGGTCGTAGCACTCTGGCTTTAGAAAACAAATATAGAAATTAAAGTAAAAAACATTTGTCTTTTTCTGATTCAAAAAGGATTAAGCAACATTTAGGACATTTTTGAGTTTCATTTTCTGTTTCAATTCACTAAAAAAAAGGAATTTAGATAAAAATAGACACTAAAAATAATCCAAATATGTGGGCACTAATTTCACAAGAGGACTGAATTTCAGAAGGGGGAGAAATTACAAGAACGTCTGAGAGGAAGAGGATTTCTGCAGGTACTTTAAACCAAAGTATAAAACAAAATATTTGAGACATTAAAAATTTAGTTGAAAACAGTTCTAACGTGGAAAATTTTAATCGTAAAACTTCATTAACTGAAATTTTAAACTTGGAAAATACAGACATGGGAAATTTGAACGTAAACATTCAGTCTGAAAGTTTAAATGTTAACAAATCAGCCATTGAAAATTTAAAGAACAAAATGAACACTGAAAATATAAATGTTCAAAATTTAAAGATTGAACATTTTAACTTTAAAATCTAAACTTAGAAAATACAAACAAGGAAAAATGTTAAGTTTGGAAATTTAAGTGTAAAACAATCAGCCGTTGAAAATGTTAAAATTTTAAATTTCAGATATTGAAATTCGAATATTTAAAGGTCAGACATTTCTCTTAAAAAACAGACAAAAAAAATCTTGTGATGATATTCTAATTTAACGCTGCAGCACCTGATCTTATTAATGCACCAAAACTGACTTTATAGACGAACTAAACTTAAATGTATAATGGAGGAACTGCTTCAGTGGTTAGCGAACACAACACATCTATGGAGGCCTAAAGCGCTGGTTATCTTCCTGCAGCAGTATTTCGCAGTGAGCTTTACGCAAATATTGTTGATTTGCGTACTCAAACTCAACTCCAACTTTATTTATAAAGCAGATTTAAAACAACGGGGGTTGACCAAAGTGCTGTACAGGAATCACAGTTAAGGAACATAAGATAAAAGCTGAAGGCTAAGATACAAAAACACATAAAAATAGAATAAGATAAATGTTTCAATTAAAATACATTTTAGAATAAAAATTAAAAATAAAATTTAGCCAAATGTGCAGCACTGGACTTTAGTCCAAATTTGCTTGACGTATAGTTAAGATGTGGATCTATAAAGTCTGAGGCTCATCCAGAGTTTCAAATGGGCTTTCATGGTGTTTCACTGTTTATTGAGGAAAAAAAAAATGTTGTCAGGCTAAATATTTTTCATTTTTTATTAGTTTTATCACCTATAAATCAGACATGGTGACATTTAAAAAAAAAATACAGAAAAATACAAACAATTGTAGTTTTTCTTGCTTTAGTTCACATGTATAATTTCAGGTGGAATTTACTCCTAAGACCCTCTGGGCTTAAGGGGATCAAAATGTCTTTTCACACATGAAGTTGTGGTCAGAAAATTTAGATTTCTCTTGTCTTATATATTTAGTTATGCTATTTATCCAGTGGAAAATGTTTTTACTCAGATTGTTTCACCTGCAAGGCTGAGAAACTGTCTGAGTGAGGAGTGGTTTGGATAAAACAAACTTAACGTACACTGCGACTCACATGCAGACGACCTGGTTTCTGAGTATAAACCAGCCTTTAGTCCTCGATGCGGGCGACCTGGGTTCGAATCCGACATGTGGTCATTTGCCGCATGTCTCTCCCCTTCTCTCATACTGTCCAAAAAAAAAGAAATAAAAATTCACTAGTGCCGTAAAAACTAAAAAAATAGATTTAAAAAATGTGCGAAAAATCCTCCATTATACGATTTTTTTTAAAGACCCACCCTCTGCACTAAAAAAAAAGCACATGCTCAACCCTGTACCTGCTCCCAAAGGGAATGCCTATTAGAGCGTGCATGAGGAGAAATGGGCTGTTTAATAGTTGCTGTTTACATCGTTCATCCAAGCTAACTTTCCGAAAGAAGATTTGCAATTTTCCCACTATGTCATTCAAAAAATGCGTAGGACATAAAGATGCCTGCAGAATGATTGACAATTAGGAGGACCACTGATTTAGATGATCCACCCAGAAAAAGAACATCCTCCACTATACCCACTGCAAAAACAATCTAGAAATAAGTAAAGATTACTTAAATTAAGTGTATTTACCCTTAATTTGAGAAGGTATGTAAGAGGATTTGCCAATGGAATGAGTATTTTTACACTTAAAATAAGATAATTAGATAAAATTCACTTGAAATAAGAAAATGCTATTGTTTTTTCTTATTTTAAATGTCAATTGTCTTGTTCCATTGGCAAAGTGTCTCACTTACCTCCTCAATACAAGAAAAAATGCACTTATTTTAAGACAAATTGACTTATTAAGATTAAAATTTTCTGCAGTGCCTTTAATTATAAAAAAGCAACACTTGTTGGTTTCTGCAATAAAAAGAACAACCTTTGAATTTGAGTTTTTTGTGTTTTATTCCACATTTCCAAATCTCTTAGTTGATTTCAATGAAAGCTGTCTCTGGTTTAGCTCCAGCTTGAAGTGGAATTGTAAACAGATATAGCCTATAGTTGCTTTCACTTTCGCAGCAGTAGAAAGCACTGAATCTTTATTCTTCTCCCTGTAGTTTAGTTTTCTGCCTCGGATTGATGCTCATCATCTGATCAGAGCCAGAATGTCGCCTTATTTGGCGCGTTAAGACGCTGTGCTGCTTAATTTGCTGCACAGCAGCAAAGGCTGAGCCTGGATGTGTCGGAAACAGAGATGCAGGATTCATGCGAACGCGGATCAAAGTAGCCGGTGAGGGAGCGGGCGGGTAACAGGAAGTGACAGCTAACCGTGGATGACTGGGCTCTCAGGGCCCGTTCTGGTTTCCCAGACGCTTTGCTCAGACAGCAGACCGTGACAGCCGGCTGCAGGACGGGCCGTGGGCGGCGTCGCCAGCGATCAGCCGCGGAGCAGACATGCTGACGCGGGGCGAGGCCGTCCGCCAGTTATTGTCCTCCTGTCAGCAGGAGTCCTGCACAGGAACTCTGAGGTGACCTGGGAGTTTAAATCAGCTGCCGTCTCTGTGATTAATGAAAAAATTAGATTTTTAAGACCTTTAATGAGCTAAATACTAATATTAGAATGAGAAAAGTTTAAGTCAGGTTCTTAGATGGTGAATGAACAAATCGCAGTGATTGAACACCACTTCCTATTAGCTTTGCTCTGCCGGGCACATTTAGTCCAAACCACACAAACATCCCAACAACAGTGAAAATCCTCAAACTGAGCAAACAGTGTTGGAGGACGGAGTCATTAGGAGTCAGATGGACAGTAATGAACCGTCTGTGTGTGTCTGTGGCTGTATGTGCAGACGCTGCGGCCGCTCTGGAGAACGGAGAGCAGGAGGCTCATGGGGCGCAAAAGCCTGGTAAGAAAAACCAAAAAAACAACAATTCCCACAATTCTTTCTGCTGTCGGTCACTTGGCTAAAGCTTTTCCATCTCTGGCCTTTTTTTAGTCTTTATTTCCTTCTTGTCTTTTGGTTCTGCATGTTTTTTTTTGTGTAAAAAGTTGTTTTTGTTTTTTTGTTAAGTTTCTGTTTAGAACAGAGTGTGAGCTGCTCTCAGCGTTTTCCAGCATCCTTCCTTTAAACGCGTCTCTGATTCGTTCCTCCGTTTGGGAACGTCCACCTCCATCAAACAGTTCAGCCACAAATGAAACAGACCTCAAAATAACTCATCAAAATAAATATATATTAAATTACTTTAAATTGAATTATTCATATAAGAGGACATAATTACATGCATTTTTTAGATTATTGTTTTTTTTATGTATTTAATGGGTCATTTAAGTGTATATTTTGGTATATTTAATATTTACATAATTTAGATAAATAAATGTTAGATGGAACATTAATTTAGTGGGGTTCAGACTGTGTCTATGGGAACAACTGATCTTATTTAAAGGCAAAGAAAACGGTTGATCCTGAGACATAAACGAATATTAACCATTCCCAATTGGCGCAGGTGGATATTTTATATTTAATTTTGGTTTAGTTCAGGGATGCAGGATATAATCTGCCCCGTATCGGTATCGGCCTTAAAACTGAATATCGGACATCGGCCACCCCACCGATATTTAACCCGATATTTGATCAGCTTCTGAGTTTCTAAAGTCTAAAAAAAAAAATATAAAAATATTCGTTCCTCAAAAACTTCTTTTTTACAGACTTAAAAACTTCTAAAGACGAGGGAAAAAATATTGATCCATTAAAATATCCCAATATCTT